AATTGCAAATTATTGGAGTGTTATTCTAAAATAATAACTTTAAGAATTCAATAATTCTTCTACCCAAAATTTTGAAAAGAAGTTACAAATTTTTCATAAGAAAGTTGCAAAATTTGGTACTTCAATTACAAATTACTGGAGCATTGTCCTGGAACAATAACTTTCTTAAGAATTCAATAGTTCTCTTACCCCAAATTTTGAAAAGGAGTTGCAAATTATTCATAGAAAAGTTGCAAAATTTGGTGTCTGAATTACAAATTACTCAGCATTGTCCTAGAACAATAACTTTCTTAAGAATTCAATAGTTCTCTTACCTAAAATTTTGACAAGCAATGACAAATTTGTTTCGAGATAATTGCAAAATTGAGTACCTAAGTTGCTTGGTAATTTAATTGAATGGGCACAATGTATAACTTGAACATTACAAATACGTTTCAATATTAGAAGTTAGGAAGAAATTGTGAAAACAGATTAGAAAGTTACAAAGTTGCAAACTTGATTAATTGGGTACAATGTATAACTTCAAACTTAAAATTCATTTGAGCATGTCCTCACTTGTACAAATTACGTAGTCCACCTTCAACTAAGATACTCAAGGAAAAAATTGAAGAAGAAGCAATTTCTGCATAACCGGAATGGTGAATGTTGATGAGGATTAGACTTTTCAGCGAGGCAAATGTGTGACACCCATCAAAGATTAATGACCAAAATAGATTTCAGATTAATGACCTAAGCAAATAATCACTTAGGGCAAATAAGAGACGTTAAACAGGACTAGAATAGATATGATAGACAGCTTTGCTGGACAACTTAGGGAAGAGACGATGAACAAGGCAGGGAAGAGACAATGGACAAGTAATTGTAGGGCAAAGTAGAGTAGAGAATGAGCAACCTCAAATTTTCATAAGCAAATAAGGGTGTTTTGATCATTTCTCATTATATTAAAATGCTACTCAAAGACTTGGGGACTTAACTGGTATTTCATAATATCTTGAAACTTATCTTGAATAAAATTGATCCTTTAAAACTTACTTGTCATTTTCCCATTTAAAAATTGGCTAATAATGATAATAGTTAGCGGCTAATGATCGTGACTTATAATAGCAATTTGTCAAGCTAATTGTAATTTTCAATAATCAAATATAATATATTAAAAAAATTAAAATAAAAGAAAAACTATTTTAAAATGTTTCTATTTGTTTTAAACAGAAAATGAAATTTTTTTTTGAAAACAATCAAATTCAAAAAAACTTATCTAAATGATTTTATTTTTTTTTCTTTTGGTTTTCCAAAAATAGAAAACAAACCGTTCCTTAAATTTTTTTTTTTAAAATTTGTTTTCTTGGGCTATCAATCGTGTTACTCAGAATGTGTTGAATCACTGGCAAACAACTAAAAGAATGTGTTGGATCAACAACAAAAAAACACAAAAGCAGGCTCACAAATTGGAAGAATGACAATGAAGTCTCAAAATTGAGTTAATGACTTGAAGAAGGAAAAAAAAAAGTAAGTTAATGACAACGTAAAGTCTTTAACAAATTTTTTTAAAAAATATAGATTCAGACAATTGTTAAATTCAAAGTTTCAGTTATAAATAAGATATTTTATTTTGAAATATAATTCCTAAATTGAAATTAATTTTTTTTAGCATTTCTTAAAATAATTTTATAGAGAACTTAACACGTTAATTCAATTTTTAGAACTTAACATTCTCAAGAGAGTTCATTCAATCCCTTAATTACAAATCTCTCTCTCTCTCTCTCTCTCTCTCTCTCTCTCTCTCTCTCTCTCTCTCTCTCTCTCTCACTTGTTCTATAATGAATATAGAAGCAGTGAGGCAAGTTCATATACTAATTAAGCAACTTTGAAGAATTTCGCAACTTCAAAGGACCAAGATATAAGTAGTGTAACAAGAGAATAGGTCAAGATGATCAATATGATATGTTGATTGTTTTCAATTATGAAGTTGGTAAGATATCAAGGAAAGTTAATTTAGCCTTGAGATGTAAAATGGAACTCCCAAACAATTGAAGTCAAATTGACAGTTTCAGGTTGGAGATTTGAAGAGGAAGTTAATTTAACTTCGCCTAGCTTATTTGTGAATTTTTCATATATTATTTATTCTATAATAAAATATTATTATTAATATTATTAATATTTTAAAATTTTCTTATTCTAATTTAATTAAATAAAAATATATTAAATATAGAACGCTTTCTTTGATATTTTCATCAAATATTTGTAAAAATAATCTCTAATAGATATAAGAACAATTTGAATTTCTATACAACTCAACAATTGAAGGCTTGGAGTATTTATTCGGTTATTTATTTTTTATTCTGTAGCAAGGTATTTTAGGAAAACTAGGGGCATTTCTACCTTCTGCTTTTACTAATCCAACCCTCACTGTTATGTGGAACTCTTATTATAAAAGAAAAATTACAGTTAGGTCTCACATAAAAAAATTAATTACTGCAAGATTCAATGACAACTAAACTAAATTGTATTGACAATTGATTGTATTGTTAATACAGTTTAGTTCAGTTATCAATAGACCTTATAGTAATTAATTTTTTTGTGTGAGACTTTAATATAATTGTCCCTATCATAAATGATAGTTTCATTGGTATCTCGAGAATATATTTAATATATTTATTTAATGTGATTGTATTTATTAAAGGTTAACAAAATTGAATCAAAATCAAAAATCAAACTAAATCAAATCAAATTTTACTTATTTGACTCAGTCTATTATGTTTTCTTTTAAAAAAATTTTGATTGATTAGTTCGATTCAGTCTAAAAACTCTTGAATCAAATAAACCAAATTGATAGAATTATACATATTTTTCTTTTCATATTTTTAAAAATGTGAATAAATTTTTATCTAGATGAGTAAGAAATATCTTTCTATTACTTATAGTAGTAGTATTTTTTTTGTTTAATGTAATGTTATAATTTTTTATTTCTATAATTTAGTTTTTAATGTAATAGTATTGAGTCTTATTAATTTTCTTACAAATTATGTTATAAGATTGTTATTATTTTGTTGGGCCTTTAACATCAAGAAAAAAATTGGATAGAAGTATATATGAACAATTAGACTTCATAGATTCAAATTAAAGCTCATGAACCGAAAAGATCGATCAAATCAAACCATTATAATTTGATTCAGTTTTAATTTAGGTCAATCACATATTTTGATTTAATTTGATCCAAATTTTATACATAATTTGATTGATCAGTTTAAAAAAAATTAGAAGCAAACCGACTGAACCAACCAAAAGCTCACCCCTAATTTATTACTATCTATCTCAGCCACAAAACCAGTTAAACCAAAATGCTTCTTATTTTATTTATTTTTGTACAAGTGAGAATGCTCCTCTTCTAGAAGGCTTGAAGTATAATTGAATGATGGGTTCTCCTACGTTACTTTAAAGCCACGCATTCAGACACTTGACCTAATTTGATGCCATTGACTCTGAATTCGAGTTGACAGTTGTCCTTGGCGAAACTTGTTTTTTTGTCTCTTTAAATTTTTTATTGACAATATTTATGTGATATGTTAAATATAATAAATTAAACAATACAAGAATTACATTTATAATTATTTTTTCTTATGATTTTTTATAAATGCATAAATATAAATAAATTTTTTTTGATGGTGTTAAGTATTTTAAATATCATCTGATCACTTAATTTTATTTTTATTTTAATTTTTTAAAAAATGATTTTCCAATGATAAATTTTAGGTCAAGGTCAAAATGATAATTTTTTTTTGGTAATAAAATGATACTCCTTCCATTAAAAAATGTAAGATATTTTTTAAGGAGTTAGATGTTAAAAAATGTAAGGCATTTTTAATCTTTTAAGATGTAATTATTTTTTTTTCAAAAGTGCCCATATTGATAGTGATTTTATATTTATTATAAGTATTTAATAGGAATAAATATAAAAAGATAAGATTAATTTAAAAGTAGGTAATTACTTTATTGAAAGTAAAATTTTGTTAAAAATACCTTATATTTTTAAATGAAGGGAGTAAATTTTAGAGACTATCCTGTCAAACGCACACAAACGGTCAAAACTAGAAACATCTAAACAACTCTACTAAAAATTATTTAGTAATAATTGAAAAAATAAAAATATAAAATTTTAATAATTTTATGGGATTTTTATGTATTTAAATTATTAAATGATCATGAATGTGATATATTTTCAAATCAGCTCAACATTTTGAAATTTTATTATAGGATGTTGGGTCTGAATTGAAATAAAATTGCCAAAATATTATTCTTTAATATGTTGTAGTATAACAAGTGATGTAAGAAAATTAACAAATAAAATAAATCATTTAACAAGTAATATAGTAGGTTAATATTAGAAGTTTATGTGATAATTTAAATTTATAACTTATTAAACCATTACCATTACTTATAACATCAACTACAACACTTATTGATTTCTTTGGATTACTTGTTTCATTGAATGATTTGCATTACGGTTAACATGATTATTAATTTTTAAAAAGACCTATTAATTTCTTAATTTTATTTATTCATTCTCTTACATTACTTACTAATTTCATAATTTTACTTGCAAAATCCATGTAGTGAATTAAACTATTACTTGTTAAGCTGTTAGCATAACTTATAAAATCAACTACATTTTTGTTAAGTTCTTTAATTTATTTGTTTTTCTACATCATATTAAAATAAGAATATTTTCATCATTTTGTTTTACAATATTATTTTAATTCAGGCCCAACATGCAGCAATATTTCAAATTATATTAAACCTGATTTGAAGATACGATCCTCCAAGGTGGTTCGATGAAATTCTCCAATTTATCTATCAAAATTCAGAAATTTATGATAGAAAATATAAATTAAAAAAATAAAAAATATAGGCTGTCAGCATCAAAATAATCCACAATTTATTATTATTTTTTTTGCCAACAAATAATCCACAATTTATTACCAACCGTACATTGGAAGCATGGAACGAAAACAAGCATTTCTGTTTGGGATTTGAGAATCCTCCTTTCATATTCGTAGTTCACACAAACAAGGCAAACCAAAAGATAATGGCTGACATGAAGAACTCAGAACTAATCTTCATTCCCTCACCAGGAATTGGCCACTTAGTTTCGGCTCTCGAGTTCGCAAAGCGCATAATCGATCACGATTCTCGCATTTCCTTCACAGTTCTCTGCATTAAGTTCCCATTCACTTCTTTTTCAGATTCCTACATCAAATCAGTCTTGGCCTCCCAACCTCGAATTCGACTCATTGATCTTCCTGAAGTAGACCCACCTTCACGAGAGCTTCTGAAATCTCCAGAATACTACATCTATCTCTTCATGGAAAGCCTCTTACCCCATGTCAAATCCACTATACAGAACATCTTGCATATGGCTGATTCAAACCCAGTTGTTGGGTTGGTCCTTGATTTCTTCTGCATGTCCATGGTTGATGTGGGAAACGAATTGGGTCTTCCTTCTTATTTGTTTCTGACCACAAATGCAGGATTTTTTGGTACTGTTCTTTCCCTTCAGAAACGCCAAATTGATGACGTGTTCAGTGATTCTGGTCCTGACTTGTTGATTCCAGGTTTCTCCAGTCTAGTTCCTCGTGGGGTTTTGCCTAATCCTCTGTTTAGTAAAGATGGGGGATATTTAGCTTTTTATAAGCTAGCTCAGAAGTTCACAGAGACAAAAGGGATTATTGTAAATAGCTTCTCAGAATTGGAGCAATATGCTTTTGACGACATACTTAAGGATGAGAAAATCCCTCCAGTCTATTCTGTTGGTCCTGTGATTGAGCTCAAGGGTCAGCCTAACCCTAATTTGGACCAAGCTCAGCATGACAAGATAATGAAATGGCTTGAAGATCAACCACCTTCCTCAGTTGTGTTTCTTTGTTTTGGGAGCATGGGAAGCTTAAGTCCATCTCAAACAAGAGAGTTGGCAAAAGGACTTAAGAATAGTGGGGTTAGATTCTTGTGGGCTATGCGCTCACCACCAACTAAAGACAACGCAGACAGAACCTTAACAGAAGGTTTCTTAGAATCAACACAGGATAAGGGAATGATATGTGGGTGGGCACCACAGATAGAGGTTCTAGCACATAAATCCATTGCTGGGTTTGTATCTCATTGTGGATGGAACTCTATCTTGGAAAGCCTGTGGTTTGGAGTACCAATTTTGACATGGCCTATTTATGCAGAACAACAGCTAAATGCATTCAGGATGGTGAGGGAATTCGGATTAGCGGTGGAACTGAGACTGGATTATAGGACTGATGGTGATCTTGTTCTGGCTGATGAGATAGAGAGAGGGATTGCACAGTTGATGGATAAAGATAGTGAGGTGCATAAAAAGGTGCAAGAGATGAAAGAGAAGGCCAGGAAAGCTGTCTTTAGCAGTGGATCGTCGTTCGCTTCTACTGGGCGACTTATTGAGGATATCATTCGTAAAAATAGCTGCTGATGGATGCTCTTGGTTGTATTTCATTGATGAATTTGCTTCTTTCTTGAAAGCCACAAGTCTTTTGTGGGAATATCCCACCTGGCTTGAAACAACCATAGTCATATATCAAGGACAGATTCAATTTCAAGAATTTAGCAGTTTCCGATTCCTCTATTGATATAGTTGCAGCCACGGAACAGCGTTCTCTTACCATTAAGAATCTGGAAATGAATTGCCTTTCAATTTGGAAAGTCTGTATTATATAACCTTGCAAGTTGCATTTTGGATTTTGTTTAGTTTTGGTAGTCATCTCAAGTATACCATATTCAAGAGTTGCCGCATGTTAATGTTTGTGTATCATAGTTAAGTAAGTAATGAAATGTAATCCTTGATGGAATTGAACATTTTTCCTGCTATAATGCCTTTTTTTTCACCTGCTATAATGTTTCCTGTATTTACAAGGACTTGAATCTAAGACCTCATGCTTAAACGATCCTCATCTCTCTCGCTAGGACCAACGCTTGTTGGTTTCTATCTATAATGCTTTAGTTTTATTGAATTACTGCTCTTAGCTTCTCAGTTGATAAGCGTTGAAGAGGGACAGAGTTTCTTTTTGGTGATGTCCAATTGCCAATACTTCAGAGAATGATAATCTGCACTTGCATTTAAAGGCATACTTGATTGTATGCTAATTATAAGAAAGCATAAGTGGATTTCATAGTCCACAAAGTCAAGTGGTTCATTGACAGCATCTTCCGATATGAGTTGCTGGTTATTATCAATGAGATGCATGAGAAGGTGAGAGTATATTGCAATGATTTGGAAATCTTTGGACATGTTATTGAAATTATTAGCACCTATATATTTTTGTAAGATATAGTACTTTCTGATGGGAAGCTGTAAGAAAAGTTAACTGATGACATTCCATATTGCAGGGTTCATTTGAACTAAATTTCTTGAAAAGGTCAATAAAAAGGGGATGATATGGATGTACGCCACAAGTAGAACTCTATAGTATTATTGCTTAGTTGTCAATTGAACTATTCCATTACCAACTGTCCAGTATTGATTGACGACTTTAATATAGCAGATTGCCAAGTTCAATAAATTCTTATGTGACACCTAAGAGTAATTTTCCCTATATTAAATGCTTAATAACAGCTAAATACATTTAGGATGGTGAGAGAACTTGGATTGGCAATGAAGGTGAGACTTGAATATAGAGGTTGTAAAGAGAGGGATAACAGGCTTGATGGAGAGAGAGAGTGAGGTGTTTACGAAGGTACAAGGGAGTCAAGAGAAGGCCAGAGAAGTTGCCTTGAATGATGGATCATCATTCATTTCTACTGCACAATTTATTGAGGATATGATAGTGAAAGTAGCTGATGAATGCTCTTTGTTGTTTCACTTAGAATCTGTTTCAGCCCTCATGGCCTGCCTATTTGATTCCTGTTCTTGAGAACTGTGTTTTTTTTTTTTTTTCAAACGAGTGAATAATAGGTAAAAAAAGAAAAAACTTATTTGGATATCTATTTTTTGTCCACTTGTTTTCATAACTTTTTTCCATTTTTTTTAGTCTTTTAAAGACAGAAAAATAAAAATAGTTTGGAGTTGTTTTAGTTCCCTTTTCTTTTTTTGGGAACAGATGAAGTAGAGGACAACTTGTTCTTTCTTTTTTTTGTTTTCATCAATAGCATTGTGATAATTAAAGTCAACTCTGAAACCAGGCTTCATGCTAGCTCTTCAGAACATGCAATATACTTGCCAAAATCATTTTCAACCCGAAACTATGTTTTTTTTTTAAATATCCACACCTTTATATATGTTAAAATCAATTGTAAACTCAAAAATATAATTTTTAAAATAATATATATGATTTTTGGAACATTTTTAAAAAAGTATAATTAAAAATATGAATTGAAATGCATGTAATAGTAGCTTACAATATAATCATGATTTTGGGTTTATAATTGGTTGTGGCATGTATGGGAGTGTTTGAATATTTTTAAGAAAATCATGGTTTTGAGTTCATAATTAATTCTAGCATGTATAATGAGTGTTTAAATATTTTTTTTTTTTGAAAAATATGATTTTAAATTTATAATTAATTTTAACATATAACAAGAATATTTAAATATATTTTTATAAAACCACGGTTTTACTTTATTTTCAATCCTACTTTTCAAACACACCCAAGACACGTCTCTATGATGGAAAACCCATGTTTCTTTATTCACATACTCATATAATTGAGAATTTGTCAATAAATTACCTGATAATGAAGTTTCAAATTGGAAAGATCGTTATATGGTTGTGCAAGTTGCACTTAGTTACAAATGGTAACTTTCTTCCGTTATACCGAGCAGAAAGATACCATTCACAAGAATATAGGCCTGGCCGCGAAGCTACAAGTCAAAGAAAGGTTTTTAATTTTAGATATCTTTCATTAGGATTGAAGCTTTAGCATTCTTTTAGAGTGTTGAAGGCCCAATTTCTAATTTTTAAATTAATGCCACTATACAGGCTTTTAAGACAACGTGATGACATGTTGAATTATTCATAATTATATGCATATTTGAGTTTTAACTGCGTTCTTGAAACTTTTTCTCAAATCAATGTTTCTTATGTTATTTATTGGTGATTCCATTCAAATTTTATTATTAAATTAATTCCTAGTTACAATATGATGTTAAATAATTATAAAAAATTATGTAAATATTAATTATGTAAAACAAGTTAATTAAATAATTTTTTTTTGTCTTTTGTTCTCAACAAGTTCTAAAAGCAATTTACTAAGTGTTTTTTTTTAATTTTCCAAAAAAGAATTATTCAAACAGATTTAACAAAAACAGAATAAAAAAGGAAAAATGATAAAAAAAATCTCTTTAAAATATGCAAATGAGAATGAAGTCCACAAAATGTTATAATTCTTTTTAAGTCCTTGATGACCATTACGACATTAATGATTTTGATAAAATGATTAAAATACCTTCGATTTAAAATAAAAATTTGACAGCTTTAACTCCAAAAAAACAAATATCAGTGACTACTATTGTCTAAACAATGATTACTTATTTTTAAATAATGATTAAAATGAAACAAACAATTATAAAATTTAAGTATTGTGAATATCTTTTAACTAATTTAAATATAAGCCCAATCCACAATACAGCAGCATGCCATTGTCATGTGGTTCATGTATCACTGTGAAATATCAAAATAGGTGTCTTGATGATGCCAAACAACTTTCTGGTATAATGATTTCCGTTTATATAATTCCTTACAAACATGGTATAATTGGAAATTTACATAATTATGGTAGCACGAAGATAATTGATAGTAGTACAGACACAAGTTTCGGTTCACGCCGAGAGAATCCACATGGACCCATTTAAGAGAACAAGTGATGAACCCATTTAAGAGAACCAGTGATGACCATCTGGCATCTTAGGTTGTTCAAATTTGACTTTCGCTGCCTCCGTAGAACTTCTTTTGAAGTGTGTCCTTCACATTTCATCTCTTGCAAGTCCCAGCTTGTACGCTTCACTATTTTATTGTGAATATAAGTACAATGCATTATTTATTTTGGCATCATCAGAAAGCAAATTGACTCTCTAATCTTCTATTTAAAGCAGATTTATATATCATTGGTGAAATGAAAAATATACTCCAAAACTATCCCAATTTTGTATCTAGTAGACAACAATTCTATAAATTTGGAGCCTTGTTCTACCTCCAGCCAGAACTCTTTTCACTGATAACCAGTAGAAAAGCTAAAGACATGAGACACAACAATGTAAATCAGAGATTTAAATCTTCGTGTCAATGCTTCTTTAACATCAGTAGCTTGATGCATGATTTCTACCATCCAGAAACATGAATTGATCAAAAACAGAAGTTGTAAGCTTCTTACGCAGAAGGAAGATCATCATTGCTCTCACATGACAAAGTGGAAGAGATCATATCCTGATATAGTTACCTTCTTGATCTCTTTTCTTCTCTCCCGTCGGGATCATATTTTACTTTTGGCTCTGATCTTCCCGTATCATTTCTGTTTGATCTGTCCCCTTGCTTCCTATCATAATCTTCTCTTGACCTTGATGCAGAATCATATTCTCTGGGCTGCCTTGACCTTCTTTCTTCCCTGCTAACATGATCTTCCCTTGACCTACTACCAAAATCATCATCCTGTCTCCTGTACCTCTTTTCTTCCCTTCTATCAGAATCCCTAGTCTTGGGTTCAAATTCATCATCATCTGGCTTCCTTGATCTGGTGTCTTCCCTCCTACAATGATCCCTTCGCTCGGGTTCCATATCACCATCACTTCTCCTTCTCAATTGTTTATCAACCCTTCTATCACGATCTTCTCCTGACCTAGACACAAATTCATCATCTTCATGCCTTCTTGATCTCTTCTCTCTTCTATGATCATGTTCTTTTCCCTCAAATTTATCATCATCATACCTATGCAATATCTTCTCTCTCTTATCACTTTGCTTTGGGTTGTTGCCTAATCCTATCTCATTGCCCAGGGCCCTGGAATGTAAATTTCTATCTCTGGTTTCTGGAATATGATTCGATTGACTGTTGCCATATTTCTTTTCTTTTTTGTGACCATCAAATTTGTCATGACCCCACTTTGAACCAGCATCCTCGGGGGCCCCCCAACCTGTGTTAGCAGCTCTCTGGATAGACACAACAAGGACATTAAGGAACTTATTTTAGCAAGAAATGCCAAACCAAATAATATCTTGAACTATGCAAAAGATTCGATTCACAAAATTCAGCACATTTACAACTTAAATCACGTGCAACACAGAGGAGGAAAAACTAAAATAGAGCCAATGAGGCAACAAAATGCAACAAAACTGTCCATTCTCCTTCCATATTAGAAATGGGAATTCCCTTAAAACAACCATCTCAAGAACACTATCATATATAAAAAGGGCACAGAGACATTATTGAATATTCATGCATTGCACTCAAACAAAATACACCAAGGATATGTAAAGCTGCATTTGGCGTCCTCATTATCCACCAAAAGCTTGGAAACATAACATGAGGCTCCACAAGGTGAACGAACTTAATCAATGTGAGAGTCTGAGAGATGTTCACCAGAAATGGCGGCCATGTCTTGTGGTCAGTGGGCTTTGGCTATGTTTAGATAAGATCTAAACTAAGGTTTGGGTGGTCCAAACTTCAGTTTGGGTCTTATAAGCTCATTGGAAAGCTTGAAAGGATACTTGGACTAAAAAAATAGTCGAAAGACCTTTTGGTCCAGAAACCCATTTACATGGATTGAAAATATGAGTTTTTGGCTTCAGCTGGAGGTCAAATTGACTTTCCAGAAAAATAGATTCAAATATAAATCATGTTACAATCACTGTCTTTTACCCTATCTTCAGTTTGAAAAACTCAGTTTATTCTAACTTCAGTTTTGCAACTTCTAATCCAAACACACCCTTTAAGTTTGAAGTTTCAGTTGCTCAAATAAACAAAGATGAGAGAGCAAGAGGCATGGCACATTTTGGTTCCTATCTCTTTAAAGTTGTTTTAAAGAGATAGAGCCAGATGTGCAGTAGTTTCATAATTCACTGGAATCATCTCTAAAAATAAGAATTATGAATGCAACGAGCACACCAAATTTTAGGCCTAAAACTCTCGTAATTGAAGGCTTAAATCCAAATTTGTGATTTAATGCATTAGCGTTTATATTTTGAGATCACTGACTCATCTCATAAATGACAGAATCTTTTACACATTAATTTTAATCTTCACAGGCACCAAAAGCAAAATTTATATTCTGAACCTTGAATATGGGCTCAATTCCAACAGTCAACATCCAATTGCAATTCTTCTCGACATTTAAAATCTCAATTCTCGTGTCTTGTTGAGATTTTGACATCTAAATTTTAAGATGGTTGACTTACTGGCTAAAGCATAAAATTATAGCTAGCAAGTTACCAAGAGCTGAGAAAACATTAAAGTCAACTCTCAAAGTGACCATATTCTCATATCAAGAGCAGCAATTGCATGCCCAAATAAAGAATTAAAGAGCAATATGTATCTGAAGAAGTCAAAAAATGATGCTTATGAACATTATCATTGTTTTACAAAATAAAACTGCAGGCATAGTAAATTTTAGGTCCAAAACATGAAGGTCAAGATAAGGTCACAAAAGTTAATAGAGATAGAACCCAACAGAATTTGCTTATTCACGAGAAAATTTGCTTACTTGCTCATCATGAGAAAATTTGCAGCTAGCTCCACGAGTACATTCACCTTTTTGGAAAGCTCTGCAAACACCACGTTCCTCCCTTTTCTGCCTCTCTGTCTCTTCATCTTCCTCTTCATTCTTTTTATATTTAGTAACATGATCAACCCTTATGATTCTACCCAAAATCTGTGCTCCATTCAGATTATCTGAAGAAAAAGCATTAGCAAGCAATTTAGTTTATTATTCCGCAGAAAAAAGCTAAAACCATCACTAGCAATATTTTATGACAAGATAGAGAGCCCAACCTACAGCAAGATTTGTGCTTCTTTGATCTTCATATGCAAGAAATGCAAAACCTTTTGATTTCCCAGTGCCTTTGTCCCTAACAAGATTAACATCAACAACCTCCCCATATCTGGATTTACGCAAATCATTAGAAGATATTAGAGAAAGATCAAAATCAGATTCCATAAGGAACACAATTAGCTAAAAGGGAACTGATACAATATAGATTTCACACAACACTTATGTCTTTGTCACATGTGCAATGATTCACTAGTTTGTACATGCACCAATATCTGACAACAATTCAATGTCTATAAATGTCTATACATATTCAAATAAGAATAAGGGGCCTCCGTATATATGAGAAACTTCATCATGCGTGTGTTTGAGGAGCTAAAGACACTGCATAAGAAGTACAAATTTGCACTTTGCAGCAATGCACATGGCACCAAGCAAATAAAGCTAACCAAATCAATGACGAACATAACAATCTTGCTATCTAATAATAATCCTGAGACACCCCCACGACATATTTGCATATGTAATTTTTGTAACTCTCAGGCAGGCACCGAAAACATTCGCACTATACCATAGGTGAAAGCTCATAAATTGAATGATAAACACAGCAGAAAGGAATTTAAAAAAGAAACCATGTTTCCCACAAAAATTGTTACAAAGGATAGAAACTGAATCGAAAAGGGAGGACTTACTGAGCAAAAACTGCGAGGAGATCACCCTCAGTCAGATCGAAGGGAATGCCACCCACAAATACATAAGCGGAATCTTTGTATTTGGCGTGCCACGAAGCTTCCTCGCTGATTCCCAGAGAAGCTTCTTTGGAATTGATATTCTGAATGCGCTTCACTAGGGTTAACGGATTCATCTTTCACAGACTCAAAGTTCGCTAATTGATTCAAGTCAATCGCCAACTTTGATGAGGGTTTATGCTTCCGCAGATTGTTAGGGTATAGTCCTGTAGACAGGCCGCACGAACCGTCGAAGGTTTCAACCTCAACAGATCCTATTCGCAGCCCTTACATTTTTTTTTTTTTTTTCCTTTAGCCAGTGGAAAATTTTCTTTATCACACTCAGTCACCCACTCACGTCAACTTGCTAGAGGATTTGGCCAAAAAAAAAAAAAAAAATTGCCAGAGGGTATATGTAAGCGTCCATATCCCGCGCGTTCTCATCAAGTTAATAGCTGATCTGGACCTTCCATTTTTATGTCAAAAAGATCTATATCGTTAAATTTAAATTTATTTGTAGATATTTTTAATATGATATCATCATTATGTATATAAAAATAGGGTTAAAGACTATAAAAAAAATCATGTGTCCATATTTAAGTTTGCTGTAATTTTGTGCTTCAAGATGCCTTTTTTGCAATTTTATACTCCGAAGTCAGGTTTGGAGTTAGGTTTGGAATGATTTATTATTTATATATATATATATAAAATATATTATTCAGGTTTAAAGTTAGGTGCGAAATAAATTGTTAATTTTTATATGTATATAAAAATTATTTTTTATCTATTCAAAATTCAAATTTGATTATATTTAAATTCAAACTAATATATATTTATTTAAAATTTCCATCTATCTTAAAGTTATGCTAAAAATCAAGGTTCATAATTTTGAAAAGAAAAATCTATGTTTGAGTATTTAGATCTATCATCATAATTTTAAAAAGTTATAAATATAATAAATTATAGATATCTATTTATTTTTGTGATGATAGATATCCACATATTTTATATTACTTTTAATATTTTTAAAACAATTATGAGAGTTAAAATAGTAAAGTACATATTTTTTTTAATTACAAAATTGTATACCATTAATGATTTACATTTTAAAATATTAATTTCGGTGAGAGTCGGTACACGTTTTTAGTATTGCACTGTTTAAAAACATTAATTTCAAGCAAAATTTACAAAGCACATATCCTCAATAATTATTGATTTTTGAATTCAAATTAAGTTGGGATCACCTTAAATATCTATCCTCACAAATAAACATCTAATATCTATTATCTTAATTTTAAAAAACCACCCCTTCATTTTCCTTTCAATTTAGCCTTGTTTAATTATAAATTATTAGGCCAGGCTAATAGCACATTTCACACATTCACATCTGACTCACTCTTATAACTACATTAGGTTTATTCTCCTCTCAACTATTATTCATACCACCTATGGTTTCTATATTTGATATCTATGCCTTTCATACCATCAACACAATGAAAAAAGGATTGGCATATTGTGGTTTAAGTGATTCATGTTTAGAGATTGTCAGGTAGAAATACATTTGAAGAATCTAACGGTGTTGAATTGGTCTTTTAAGATACAAGCGTAAGTGTTTATGACTTTGGTGTTTCCTTTTTACAATTTGGATCCCATCAATGATCAAATCCCTGCAATCATTTGGAAGCACTTTGTGAGACGTTTTGGGGATAAATTGCAACCCTTTAAATAAAATATATGAAATTTCAAAATTTAAGATCTCTCAATGTTTTGGATTGTATTGGACAATGAACCATCCTTACAAGATTAGCTTCATGTTCTCTACTATTGTGAAGTTGCTTCTTAAGATAGGTTCCGTCTATCCTTTTGGGTTCCTGAGACATAGAGCAATTGACTAGCCAAACTTCACAGGCTATTGGTGAAATAAAATGAAGGAGAAGAATGTTTATGCTATCAACACTTCAATGTTACTATTTCATTTAGCTCTTTCAAATTTGATTAAAAATAAATGGTATTGGCTATTGTTTCATTTTACATGACTGGATTTAATTAATTCATGTAACATTCTTGAATCTATTTATAAGTAGGTATTAAATTACTCTTAATCACTTGAATGAGGTGAGATTCATGATGAAATTTCATTTAAGCTTAAGTTAGTTTATTTAACAATATTTTATTCATAGTACAAAATGTTATCTTTCAGACTTTCACCTATTAAGTGTTGGTACAAGAGGTTAGGTGCATGGCTAAAGCAAGAAGGCTTGGGGTTTGTGCTGCAGTGCTCAAAGTTACATTGTAGATCCTATGTTGCACATATTAACATTTGAGTTTGACCTTTAGTCAAATATATTTTTATTGGATTTGAATTACATGGTCTCAATGAAGAGTAATTACATTGTATTGCATCCCAAATTGGTGATGTAATTGGAAAAATAATATATCTTCTATGAATTAGAAAGATATTGCACACTCTTTGTGATATTCTCTTTCATCTACTATTTAAATGTAGTTTCTCACAATAATTAGAACCTTCTTATTGTGTTTACTTTCATTTATATACACAAGTTTAATCAAATAATTTGAGATTTGAAAAAAAATACAAAATTTTAAGCCATCGATATTTTTTATAAAACATTAGAGTCTTTACACTTTTTATCAATGAATTAATTCGCAGCATGATACCATGTTGCACTATGTAACATCTTAGTTTTTAATCACCTGATTTATTAAACTTAATTAGGGTAATTAAGTAAGTTGAGGTAGTGTGTGGCCAGGGAGGTCTAATAAGCATATTTGATTGTATTTTAGCCCAAATTATGGGTCCGGTATTAAGGCAGGCCACCCAGGCATTAAAAGGAGAAGAAAAGAAAGAGTTGATGTTGTTGTGCCACACGTCATGGCATAGAGGTCATCCACTATAGCGCACAAACATTTCAGATATGAAGAAGGACCTCTTTGTGTCATGCGCTGTGGCGTATGGTCATTTTCTGTAGATATCAGTCACGAAAATGAAACAGAAATAGAGAGAAAGAAAAGAGAGAATAGAAGCTCTACTAGGGTTTTCTTGTGGATGACATTAAGAGTATTTTGGAGGCTACAAACTCTCAAGGTAAATATCACACTCATTAATCTTCCCATTTCTTTCACATTTATGAGTTTATAGTTAGAGTTTGATAGTGAAAGTAAATTTTCGGTCTATATGAGTTATGGGTCTAAATTTATTGACTCAAATAGAGTTAATGGGAGTAGATTAGAGTATTTAAACCTAGTATAATGAATTTTTGGTTTCTTGAGTTGTTGGGCACTATTAATATCCGAAAATCTCATTTAGGATGGGTTGGTTGAAATATTGTGATGCCATCAATCAAAATTTAATAATTCATTAATATTATTGAGGACTAAAGGTAATTAATAAACCTAAGGGACAAGCCTAAATTCTTGTGGAGTAAATGTTGGGCAATTTAGAAATAGATGATTGAAAATTTAATGCTTGAGTTGATAATGTTGATGAAATTTAACTTGATTTATTGTAGTTTTGGCTCTTGGACATCTATCTTAACTTGGAAATTCAAGTTTGAAAGCTAAAACATTGAGGGGTAAATCTTTGACCTCTTAAATATTTGAGGTAATCGGGAAAACCCTACTTTAGGTAGTTATATATTAATTGATTGTTAAATGTGAATTGTGAATATTACATGCATGGGTTTGATTTTCAATATGAAATCATGTATTAGTTTCAATGAGTGTATGAAAATTTGAATGTGCATGATGCTATTTTGGCTTGAAAGGCAAAATGTGAAGTCAAGAGGGTTTTCGAACTATGAACATGCATATGCTTTTGAAAAATAAATGTGATGTGGTGTAGAGGTAATTATGTATTAATGATAATTGAATTTTGAAATAAGTGAGAATAATGTTGAGAAAATGATGAGAATACATACTTGGGTAACTTATGATCGTGAGCCCAACGTGATTGTTGTGATAATGAGTAAAAGAAAATGAAAATATGAAAACGAGTGAGTACTAATTATGGCATGATCAGTGGCGAGAGTTCGCCTAGGAATTAGAAGTAGAGAAAAAATCTATATGGTATTTAGGCTGCCCTCCAGTGCACGGGGGTATAGCCTTATCCTATAGTTTGTCAAGGGATTATCTCATAGTTTGTTGAGGGACTAGAACCTAGATATCTCTGCCAATTTAACAAGAAGAATAGTCTAGGGTATGAGACATCCCAGAGATTCGAGAATGGGGGAAGCCATGGTTTGAGAGTGAGTCATGTGATCTTTGGTCGGGTCACACCTCATGATTGGTGAGCTTGGGTAGTCCAGTTACACGGACGGAGCCCTATTCGATGTTATAGCCCATTGTTCCAGTCTGAGGAAATAAGGAGGTTATAAGGTCGGTTGATCATTGCCTATATAAATATATGATGTGTCACATGTGTTAAGTTATGGTAAGTCATGTGAATAATGGGTCATGGTCACAAATCTAAGAATATGGTGACAATGCACCTAATATATGTGAGATAAAGAAGTTATTAAATGATAAATGACAAATTATGATATACGTGAGCATGTTTTACATACTTGGTTTCTTATGCATGTACTTGGTTTGTAATTGATATATAATTGCATACGACAGGTTTAACTTTAGTTACTGAGTGGCTAAACTCACCCCTTTCATTTAACACTTTTCAGGCTCTAGCTCTAGTGCAGAGAGGGAGAAGGCTTAATGTAACATTCTGAAATTTTAAAACTCGAATTTATTAAAAAAATAAAATAATAAAATAAAAATTTATAATTAAATTAAAATTAAGAATAATTTAATAGAGGTTTAGAGTTTAAATTTTTCTCAGGAAAAGTTTGGTTTTATTTGATTTTTAACTATGGAAAAAATTACCAAAGTTAACCCGGGCTTTTGTGCTATAATAAAAAATGTTGGGCCCTTTCTTGTAATTTTTCCCAAGGCATTAGATCAGCATTTTAAAGAGCCAAATGAACGCAGAAAAATAGAAATGAAAATGCAAAGGGAAGAAAGGAAACGCACAAGAGGGAAAGAGGAAGAAGAGAAGAGAAAGAGAGGGAGTTAGGCTTGGATCTAGGAGGCTTTGCGATCGTTGCGAGCTCGGCTACACGATAAGTAAACTTCCTACTTCAATCCTCTTTCCTTCCTCTTAATTTTCTTCAATTTTTGGAAGAGAAAATTTTTAAATTTTGATCCTAAAGGCTTTATTCTTGTAAGCTTTTGTTTCTTTGAATCCTAGGGAGGATGTTTTGAGTTTCTATATAGTAATCTAATATTTTGAGTGGAT